GGCGCTACGGTCGGCAGCCGACAGGAGGGAGACATGGACGCCTTTCCGAGGGTTTCCGCCGGTATGGTTCGTCTCGGTGGGTGTGTCAGAACGTAACTAGAGCAGTGCAACCCGGCGTTGCCGCCTCCGAGCCCCTCTTGCTATCGCCAGGGCCGGAAACCGCGGTACGGGCGCTACGGTCGGCAGCCGACAGGAGGGAGACATGGACGCCTTTCCGAGGGTTTCCGCCGGTATGGTTCGTCTCGGTGGGTGTGTCAGAACGTAACTAGAGCAGTGCAACCCGGCGTTGCCGCCTCCGAGCCCCTCTTGCTATCGCCAGGGCCGGAAACCGCGGTACGGGCGCTACGGTCGGCAGCCGACAGGAGGGAGACATGGACGCCTTTCCGAGGGTTTCCGCCGGTATGGTTCGTCTCGGTGGGTGTGTCAGAACGTAACTAGAGCAGTGCAACCCGGCGTTGCCGCCTCCGAGCCCGTCTTGCTATCGCCAGGGCCGGAAACCGCGGTACGGGCGCTACGGTCGGCAGCCGACAGGAGGGAGACATGGACGCCTTTCCGAGGGTTTCCACCGGTATGGTTCGTCTCGGTGGGTGTGTCAGAACGTAACTAGAGCAGTGCAACCCGGCGTTGCCGCCTCCGAGCCCGTCTTGCTATCGCCAGGGCCGGAAACCGCGGTACGGGCGCTACGGTCGGCAGCCGACAGGAGGGAGACATGGACGCCTTTCCGAGGGTTTCCGCCGGTATGGTTCGTCTCGGTGGGTGTGTCAGAACGTAACTAGAGCAGTGCAACCCGGCGTTGCCGCCTCCGAGCCCGTCTTGCTATCGCCAGGGCCGGAAACCGCGGTACGGGCGCTACGGTCGGCAGCCGACAGGAGGGAGACATGGACGCCTTTCCGAGGGTTTCCGCCGGTATGGTTCGTCTCGGTGGGTGTGTCAGAACGTAACTAGAGCAGTGCAACCCGGCGTTGCCGCCTCCGAGCCCCTCTTGCTATCGCCAGGGCCGGAAACCGCGGTACGGGCGCTACGGTCGGCAGCCGACAGGAGGGAGACATGGACGCCTTTCCGAGGGTTTCCGCCGGTATGGTTCGTCTCGGTGGGTGTGTCAGAACGTAACTAGAGCAGTGCAACCCGGCGTTGCCGCCTCCGAGCCCCTCTTGCTATCGCCAGGGCCGGAAACCGCGGTACGGGCGCTACGGTCGGCAGCCGACAGGAGGGAGACATGGACGCCTTTCCGAGGGTTTCCGCCGGTATGGTTCGTCTCGGTGGGTGTGTCAGAACGTAACTAGAGCAGCGCAACCCGGCGTTGCCGCCTCCGAGCCCCTCTTGCTATCGCCAGGGCCGGAAACCGCGGTACGGGCGCTACGGTCGGCAGCCGACAGGAGGGAGACATGGACGCCTTTCCGAGGGTTTCCGCCGGTATGGTTCGTCTCGGTGGGTGTGACAGAACGTAACTAGAGCAGCGCAACCCGGCGTTGCCGCCTCCGAGCCCCTCTTGCTATCGCCAGGGCCGGAAACCGCGGTACGGGCGCTACGGTCGGCAGCCGACAGGAGGGAGACATGGACGCCTTTCCGAGGGTTTCCGCCGGTATGGTTCGTCTCGGTGGGTGTGTCAGAACGTAACTAGAGCAGTGCAACCCGGCGTTGCCGCCTCCGAGCCCCTCTTGCTATCGCCAGGGCCGGAAACCGCGGTACGGGCGCTACGGTCGGCAGCCGACAGGAGGGAGACATGGACGCCTTTCCGAGGGTTTCCGCCGGTATGGTTCGTCTCGGTGGGTGTGTCAGAACGTAACTAGAGCAGTGCAACCCGGCGTTGCCGCCTCCGAGCCCCTCTTGCTATCGCCAGGGCCGGAAACCGCGGTACGGGCGCTACGGTCGGCAGCCGACAGGAGGGAGACATGGACGCCTTTCCGAGGGTTTCCGCCGGTATGGTTCGTCTCGGTGGGTGTGTCAGAACGTAACTAGAGCAGTGCAACCCGGCGTTGCCGCCTCCGAGCCCCTCTTGCTATCGCCAGGGCCGGAAACCGCGGTACGGGCGCTACGGTCGGCAGCCGACAGGAGGGAGACATGGACGCCTTTCCGAGGGTTTCCACCGGTATGGTTCGTCTCGGTGGGTGTGTCAGAACGTAACTAGAGCAGCGCAACCCGGCGTTGCCGCCTCCGAGCCCGTCTTGCTATCGCCAGGGCCGGAAACCGCGGTACGGGCGCTACGGTCGGCAGCCGACAGGAGGGAGACATGGACGCCTTTCCGAGGGTTTCCACCGGTATGGTTCGTCTCGGTGGGTGTGTCAGAACGTAACTAGAGCAGCGCAACCCGGCGTTGCCGCCTCCGAGCCCGTCTTGCTATCGCCAGGGCCGGAAACCGCGGTACGGGCGCTACGGTCGGCAGCCGACAGGAGGGAGACATGGACGCCTTTCCGAGGGTTTCCGCCGGTATGGTTCGTCTCGGTGGGTGTGTCAGAACGTAACTAGAGCAGCGCAACCCGGCGTTGCCGCCTCCGAGCCCCTCTTGCTATCGCCAGGGCCGGAAACCGCGGTACGGGCGCTACGGTCGGCAGCCGACAGGAGGGAGACATGGACGCCTTTCCGAGGGTTTCCGCCGGTATGGTTCGTCTCGGTGGGTGTGTCAGAACGTAACTAGAGCAGCGCAACCCGGCGTTGCCGCCTCCGAGCCCCTCTTGCTATCGCCAGGGCCGGAAACCGCGGTACGGGCGCTACGGTCGGCAGCCGACAGGAGGGAGACATGGACGCCTTTCCGAGGGTTTCCGCCGGTATGGTTCGTCTCGGTGGGTGTGTCAGAACGTAACTAGAGCAGCGCAACCCGGCGTTGCCGCCTCCGAGCCCGTCTTGCTATCGCCAGGGCCGGAAACCGCGGTACGGGCGCTACGGTCGGCAGCCGACAGGAGGGAGACATGGACGCCTTTCCGAGGGTTTCCACCGGTATGGTTCGTCTCGGTGGGTGTGTCAGAACGTAACTAGAGCAGCGCAACCCGGCGTTGCCGCCTCCGAGCCCGTCTTGCTATCGCCAGGGCCGGAAACCGCGGTACGGGCGCTACGGTCGGCAGCCGACAGGAGGGAGACATGGACGCCTTTCCGAGGGTTTCCGCCGGTATGGTTCGTCTCGGTGGGTGTGTCAGAACGTAACTAGAGCAGTGCAACCCGGCGTTGCCGCCTCCGAGCCCCTCTTGCTATCGCCAGGGCCGGAAACCGCGGTACGGGCGCTACGGTCGGCAGCAGACAGGAGGGAGACATGGACGCCTTTCCGAGGGTTTCCGCCGGTATGGTTCGTCTCGGTGGGTGTGTCAGAACGTAACTAGAGCAGTGCAACCCGGCGTTGCCGCCTCCGAGCCCGTCTTGCTATCGCCAGGGCCGGAAACCGCGGTACGGGCGCTACGGTCGGCAGCCGACAGGAGGGAGACATGGACGCCTTTCCGAGGGTTTCCGCCGGTATGGTTCGTCTCGGTGGGTGTGTCAGAACGTAACTAGAGCAGCGCAACCCGGCGTTGCCGCCTCCGAGCCCGTCTTGCTATCGCCAGGGCCGGAAACCGCGGTACGGGCGCTACGGTCGGCAGCCGACAGGAGGGAGACATGGACGCCTTTCCGAGGGTTTCCGCCGGTATGGTTCGTCTCGGTGGGTGTGTCAGAACGTAACTAGAGCAGTGCAACCCGGCGTTACCGCCTCCGAGCCCGTCTTGCTATCGCCAGGGCCGGAAACCGCGGTACGGGCGCTACGGTCGGCAGCCGACAGGAGGGAGACATGGACGCCTTTCCGAGGGTTTCCACCGGTATGGTTCGTCTCGGTGGGTGTGTCAGAACGTAACTAGAGCAGTGCAACCCGGCGTTGCCGCCTCCGAGCCCGTCTTGCTATCGCTAGGGCCGGAAACCGCGGTACGGGCGCTACGGTCGGCAGCCGACAGGAGGGAGACATGGACGCCTTTCCGAGGGTTTCCGCCGGTATGGTTCGTCTCGGTGGGTGTGTCAGAACGTAACTAGAGCAGTGCAACCCGGCGTTGCCGCCTCCGAGCCCGTCTTGCTATCGCTAGGGCCGGAAACCGCGGTACGGGCGCTACGGTCGGCAGCCGACAGGAGGGAGACATGGACGCCTTTCCGAGGGTTTCCGCCGGTATGGTTCGTCTCGGTGGGTGTGTCAGAACGTAACTAGAGCAGTGCAACCCGGCGTTGCCGTCTCCGAGCCCGTCTTGCTATCGCCAGGGCCGGAAACCGCGGTACGGGCGCTACGGTCGGCAGCCGACAGGAGAGAGACATGGACGCCTTTCCGAGGGTTTCCGCCGGTATGGTTCGTCTCGGTGGGTGTGTCAGAACGTAACTAGAGCAGTGCAACCCGGCGTTGCCGTCTCCGAGCCCGTCTTGCTATCGCCAGGGCCGGAAACCGCGGTACGGGCGCTACGGTCGGCAGCCGACAGGAGGGAGACATGGACGCCTTTCCGAGGGTTTCCGCCGGTATGGTTCGTCTCGGTGGGTGTGTCAGAACGTAACTAGAGCAGTGCAACCCGGCGTTGCCGCCTCCGAGCCCGTCTTGCTATCGCCAGGGCCGGAAACCGCGGTACGGGCGCTACGGTCGGCAGCCGACAGGAGGGAGACATGGACGCCTTTCCGAGGGTTTCCGCCGGTATGGTTCGTCTCGGTGGGTGTGTCAGAACGTAACTAGAGCAGTGCAACCCGGCGTTGCCGCCTCCGAGCCCGTCTTGCTATCGCCAGGGCCGGAAACCGCGGTACGGGCGCTACGGTCGGCAGCCGACAGGAGGGAGACATGGACGCCTTTCCGAGGGTTTCCGCCGGTATGGTTCGTCTCGGTGGGTGTGTCAGAACGTAACTAGAGCAGTGCAACCCGGCGTTGCCGCCTCCGAGCCCGTCTTGCTATCGCCAGGGCCGGAAACCGCGGTACGGGCGCTACGGTCGGCAGCCGACAGGAGGGAGACATGGACGCCTTTCCGAGGGTTTCCGCCGGTATGGTTCGTCTCGGTGGGTGTGTCAGAACGTAACTAGAGCAGTGCAACCCGGCGTTGCCGTCTCCGAGCCCGTCTTGCTATCGCCAGGGCCGGAAACCGCGGTACGGGCGCTACGGTCGGCAGCCGACAGGAGAGAGACATGGACGCCTTTCCGAGGGTTTCCGCCGGTATGGTTCGTCTCGGTGGGTGTGTCAGAACGTAACTAGAGCAGTGCAACCCGGCGTTGCCGCCTCCGAGCCCGTCTTGCTATCGCCAGGGCCGGAAACCGCGGTACGGGCGCTACGGTCGGCAGCCGACAGGGAGGGAGACATGGACGCCTTTCCGAGGGTTTCCGCCGGTATGGTTCGTCTCGGTGGGTGTGTCAGAACGTAACTAGAGCAGTGCAACCCGGCGTTGCCGCCTCCGAGCCCGTCTTGCTATCGCCAGGGCCGGAAACCGCGGTACGGGCGCTACGGTCGGCAGCCGACAGGAGGGAGACATGGACGCCTTTCCGAGGGTTTCCGCCGGTATGGTTCGTCTCGGTGGGTGTGTCAGAACGTAACTAGAGCAGTGCAACCCGGCGTTGCCGCCTCCGAGCCCGTCTTGCTATCGCCAGGGCCGGAAACCGCGGTACGGGCGCTACGGTCGGCAGCCGACAGGAGGGAGACATGGACGCCTTTCCGAGGGTTTCCGCCGGTATGGTTCGTCTCGGTGGGTGTGTCAGAACGTAACTAGAGCAGCGCAACCCGGCGTTGCCGCCTCCGAGCCCGTCTTGCTATCGCCAGGGCCGGAAACCGCGGTACGGGCGCTACGGTCGGCAGCCGACAGGAGGGAGACATGGACGCCTTTCCGAGGGTTTCCGCCGGTATGGTTCGTCTCGGTGGGTGTGTCAGAACGTAACTAGAGCAGTGCAACCCGGCGTTGCCGCCTCCGAGCCCGTCTTGCTATCGCCAGGGCCGGAAACCGCGGTACGGGCGCTACGGTCGGCAGCCGACAGGAGGGAGACATGGACGCCTTTCCGAGGGTTTCCGCCGGTATGGTTCGTCTCGGTGGGTGTGTCAGAACGTAACTAGAGCAGTGCAACCCGGCGTTGCCGCCTCCGAGCCCGTCTTGCTATCGCCAGGGCCGGAAACCGCGGTACGGGCGCTACGGTCGGCAGCCGACAGGAGGGAGACATGGACGCCTTTCCGAGGGTTTCCGCCGGTATGGTTCGTCTCGGTGGGTGTGTCAGAACGTAACTAGAGCAGTGCAACCCGGCGTTGCCGCCTCCGAGCCCGTCTTGCTATCGCCAGGGCCGGAAACCGCGGTACGGGCGCTACGGTCGGCAGCCGACAGGAGGGAGACATGGAGGCCTTTCCGAGGGTTTCCGCCGGTATGGTTCGTCTCGGTGGGTGTGTCAGAACGTAACTAGAGCAGCGCAACCCGGCGTTGCCGTCTCCGAGCCCGTCTTGCTATCGCCAGGGCCGGAAACCGCGGTACGGGCGCTACGGTCGGCAGCCGACAGGAGAGAGACATGGACGCCTTTCCGAAGGTTTCCACCGGTATGGTTCGTCTCGGTGGGTGTGTCAGAACGTAACTAGAGCAGTGCAACCCGGCGTTGCCGTCTCCGAGCCCCTCTTGCTATCGCCAGGGCCGGAAACCGCGGTACGGGCGCTACGGTCGGCAGCCGACAGGAGGGAGACATGGACGCCTTTCCGAGGGTTTCCGCCGGTATGGTTCGTCTCGGTGGGTGTGTCAGAACGTAACTAGAGCAGTGCAACCCGGCGTTGCCGCCTCCGAGCCCCTCTTGCTATCGCCAGGGCCGGAAACCGCGGTACGGGCGCTACGGTCGGCAGCCGACAGGAGGGAGACATGGACGCCTTTCCGAGGGTTTCCGCCGGTATGGTTCGTCTCGGTGGGTGTGTCAGAACGTAACTAGAGCAGCGCAACCCGGCGTTGCCGCCTCCGAGCCCGTCTTGCTATCGCCAGGGCCGGAAACCGCGGTACGGGCGCTACGGTCGGCAGCCGACAGGAGGGAGACATGGACGCCTTTCCGAGGGTTTCCACCGGTATGGTTCGTCTCGGTGGGTGTGTCAGAACGTAACTAGAGCAGTGCAACCCGGCGTTGCCGCCTCCGAGCCCGTCTTGCTATCGCTAGGGCCGGAAACCGCGGTACGGGCGCTACGGTCGGCAGCCGACAGGAGGGAGACATGGACGCCTTTCCGAGGGTTTCCGCCGGTATGGTTCGTCTCGGTGGGTGTGTCAGAACGTAACTAGAGCAGCGCAACCCGGCGTTGCCGTCTCCGAGCCCGTCTTGCTATCGCCAGGGCCGGAAACCGCGGTACGGGCGCTACGGTCGGCAGCCGACAGGAGGGAGACATGGACGCCTTTCCGAGGGTTTCCGCCGGTATGGTTCGTCTCGGTGGGTGTGTCAGAACGTAACTAGAGCAGTGCAACCCGGCGTTGCCGTCTCCGAGCCCGTCTTGCTATCGCCAGGGCCGGAAACCGCGGTACGGGCGCTACGGTCGGCAGCCGACAGGAGGGAGACATGGACGCCTTTCCGAGGGTTTCCGCCGGTATGGTTCGTCTCGGTGGGTGTGTCAGAACGTAACTAGAGCAGTGCAACCCGGCGTTGCCGCCTCCGAGCCCGTCTTGCTATCGCCAGGGCCGGAAACCGCGGTACGGGCGCTACGGTCGGCAGCCGACAGGAGGGAGACATGGACGCCTTTCCGAGGGTTTCCGCCGGTATGGTTCGTCTCGGTGGGTGTGTCAGAACGTAACTAGAGCAGTGCAACCCGGCGTTGCCGCCTCCGAGCCCGTCTTGCTATCGCCAGGGCCGGAAACCGCGGTACGGGCGCTACGGTCGGCAGCCGACAGGAGAGAGACATGGACGCCTTTCCGAAGGTTTCCGCCGGTATGGTTCGTCTCGGTGGGTGTGTCAGAACGTAACTAGAGCAGTGCAACCCGGCGTTGCCGCCTCCGAGCCCGTCTTGCTATCGCCAGGGCCGGAAACCGCGGTACGGGCGCTACGGTCGGCAGCCGACAGGAGGGAGACATGGACGCCTTTCCGAGGGTTTCCGCCGGTATGGTTCGTCTCGGTGGGTGTGTCAGAACGTAACTAGAGCAGCGCAACCCGGCGTTGCCGCCTCCGAGCCCGTCTTGCTATCGCCAGGGCCGGAAACCGCGGTACGGGCGCTACGGTCGGCAGCCGACAGGAGGGAGACATGGACGCCTTTCCGAGGGTTTCCGCCTGTATGGTTCGTCTCGGTGGGTGTGTCAGAACGTAACTAGAGCAGTGCAACCCGGCGTTGCCGCCTCCGAGCCCGTCTTGCTATCGCCAGGGCCGGAAACCGCGGTACGGGCGCTACGGTCGGCAGCCGACAGGAGAGAGACATGGACGCCTTTCCGAGGGTTTCCGCCGGTATGGTTCGTCTCGGTGGGTGTGTCAGAACGTAACTAGAGCAGTGCAACCCGGCGTTGCCGCCTCCGAGCCCCTCTTGCTATCGCCAGGGCCGGAAACCGCGGTACGGGCGCTACGGTCGGCAGCCGACAGGAGGGAGACATGGACGCCTTTCCGAGGGTTTCCGCCGGTATGGTTCGTCTCGGTGGGTGTGTCAGAACGTAACTAGAGCAGTGCAACCCGGCGTTGCCGCCTCCGAGCCCCTCTTGCTATCGCCAGGGCCGGAAACCGCGGTACGGGCGCTACGGTCGGCAGCCGACAGGAGGGAGACATGGACGCCTTTCCGAGGGTTTCCGCCGGTATGGTTCGTCTCGGTGGGTGTGTCAGAACGTAACTAGAGCAGTGCAACCCGGCGTTGCCGCCTCCGAGCCCCTCTTGCTATCGCCAGGGCCGGAAACCGCGGTACGGGCGCTACGGTCGGCAGCCGACAGGAGGGAGACATGGACGCCTTTCCGAGGGTTTCCGCCGGTATGGTTCGTCTCGGTGGGTGTGTCAGAACGTAACTAGAGCAGCGCAACCCGGCGTTGCCGCCTCCGAGCCCCTCTTGCTATCGCCAGGGCCGGAAACCGCGGTACGGGCGCTACGGTCGGCAGCCGACAGGAGGGAGACATGGACGCCTTTCTGAGGGTTTCCGCCGGTATGGTTCGTCTCGGTGGGTGTGTCAGAACGTAACTAGAGCAGCGCAACCCGGCGTTGCCGCCTCCGAGCCCGTCTTGCTATCGCCAGGGCCGGAAACCGCGGTACGGGCGCTACGGTCGGCAGCCGACAGGAGGGAGACATGGACGCCTTTCCGAGGGTTTCCGCCGGTATGGTTCGTCTCGATGGGTGTGTCAGAACGTAACTAGAGCAGCGCAACCCGGCGTTGCCGCCTCCGAGCCCCTCTTGCTATCGCCAGGGCCGGAAACCGCGGTACGGGCGCTACGGTCGGCAGCCGACAGGAGGGAGACATGGACGCCTTTCCGAGGGTTTCCGCCGGTATGGTTCGTCTCGGTGGGTGTGTCAGAACGTAACTAGAGCAGTGCAACCCGGCGTTGCCGCCTCCGAGCCCGTCTTGCTATCGCCAGGGCCGGAAACCGCGGTACGGGCGCTACGGTCGGCAGCCGACAGGAGGGAGACATGGACGCCTTTCCGAGGGTTTCCGCCGGTATGGTTCGTCTCGGTGGGTGTGTCAGAACGTAACTAGAGCAGTGCAACCCGGCGTTGCCGCCTCCGAGCCCGTCTTGCTATCGCCAGGGCCGGAAACCGCGGTACGGGCGCTACGGTCGGCAGCCGACAGGAGGGAGACATGGACGCCTTTCCGAGGGTTTCCGCCGGTATGGTTCGTCTCGGTGGGTGTGTCAGAACGTAACTAGAGCAGCGCAACCCGGCGTTGCCGCCTCCGAGCCCGTCTTGCTATCGCCAGGGCCGGAAACCGCGGTACGGGCGCTACGGTCGGCAGCCGACAGGAGGGAGACATGGACGCCTTTCCGAGGGTTTCCGCCGGTATGGTTCGTCTCGGTGGGTGTGTCAGAACGTAACTAGAGCAGTGCAACCCGGCGTTGCTGTCTCCGAGCCCCTCTTGCTATCGCCAGGGCCGGAAACCGCGGTACGGGCGCTACGGTCGGCAGCCGACAGGAGGGAGACATGGACGCCTTTCCGAGGGTTTCCGCCGGTATGGTTCGTCTCGGTGGGTGTGTCAGAACGTAACTAGAGCAGCGCAACCCGGCGTTGCCGCCTCCGAGCCCCTCTTGCTATCGCCAGGGCCGGAAACCGCGGTACGGGCGCTACGGTCGGCAGCCGACAGGAGGGAGACATGGACGCCTTTCCGAGGGTTTCCACCGGTATGGTTCGTCTCGGTGGGTGTGTCAGAACGTAACTAGAGCAGCGCAACCCGACGTTGCCGCCTCCGAGCCCGTCTTGCTATCGCCAGGGCCGGAAACCGCGGTACGGGCGCTACGGTCGGCAGCCGACAGGAGGGAGACATGGACGCCTTTCTGAGAGTTTCCGCCGGTATGGTTCGTCTCGGTGGGTGTGTCAGAACGTAACTAGAGCAGCGCAACCCGGCGTTGCCGCCTCCGAGCCCGTCTTGCTATCGCCAGGGCCGGAAACCGCGGTACGGGCGCTACGGTCGGCAGCCGACAGGAGGGAGACATGGACGCCTTTCCGAGGGTTTCCGCCGGTATGGTTCGTCTCGGTGGGTGTGTCAGAACGTAACTAGAGCAGCGCAACCCGGCGTTGCCGCCTCCGAGCCCCTCTTGCTATCGCCAGGGCCGGAAACCGCGGTACGGGCGCTACGGTCGGCAGCCGACAGGAGGGAGACATGGACGCCTTTCCGAGGGTTTCCGCCGGTATGGTTCGTCTCGGTGGGTGTTCAGAACGTAACTAGAGCAGCGCAACCCGGCGTTGCCGTCTCCGAGCCCGTCTTGCTATCGCCAGGGCCGGAAACCGCGGTACGGGCGCTACGGTCGGCAGCCGACAGGAGGGAGACATGGACGCCTTTCCGAGGGTTTCCACCGGTATGGTTCGTCTCGGTGGGTGTGTCAGAACGTAACTAGAGCAGCGCAACCCGGCGTTGCCGCCTCCGAGCCCCTCTTGCTATCGCCAGGGCCGGAAACCGCGGTACGGGCGCTACGGTCGGCAGCCGACAGGAGGGAGACATGGACGCCTTTCCGAGGGTTTCCGCCGGTATGGTTCGTCTCGGTGGGTGTGTCAGAACGTAACTAGAGCAGCGCAACCCGGCGTTGCCGCCTCCGAGCCCCTCTTGCTATCGCCAGGGCCGGAAACCGCGGTACGGGCGCTACGGTCGGCAGCCGACAGGAGGGAGACATGGACGCCTTTCCGAGGGTTTCCGCCGGTATGGTTCGTCTCGGTGGGTGTGTCAGAACGTAACTAGAGCAGTGCAACCCGGCGTTGCCGTCTCCGAGCCCGTCTTGCTATCGCCAGGGCAAGGAAGACACATTCGACGCAATGTGGGGTAGTTATTGGTTCTCCTGCATGGACCTCTTGTGGGGATATTACCAGGTTAAACTTCGTGAATCTGACATTCCATTTACTGCTTTTTCGACGCCCGATGGGCTGTTTGAGTATCTTGTCACCCCTATGGGTTTGAGCGGTAGTCCTGGCACTTTCAACCGGTTGTTACAGCGGGTGTTTTGCGACCTACGCGATGTCATGCGCATCTACTTTGATGACATCTATGTTTTCACTTAAGACACAGATGTTCGGACGCATGCCGAAGCGTTGGACAGAGTACTCCAACGCTGTCAAGAGCAGCAGCTGTGTGTCAAGATGTCCAAGTGCCAGTTTTGTGTCGAAGAGATCCCTTGTCTTGGTGATTTTGTGGGCCGCAACGGTGTTCGAATGGACCCTGACAAAGTGCGTGTGATTCGCGAGTGGCCGATTCCACGGACAAAGAAGCAAATGGAAAGCTTCTTGGGTACTACGGTCTATGTCTCGCGCTTTTGCGGCGACTTCGCGCAAGTCGCAGGACCATTGCATGAAAGTACTAAGGGTTTGCGCCCAAAGGAAACGCTGCATTTGTCTGAGCACCAGTTGGAATGTTTTCATGAACTCAAGCGCCGTCTCTCCACCCCTCCCGTGTTGCAACTTCCTGATTTCGAAAAACCGTTCGGTATTCGTATGGATGCCTCGAACTTTGCCATAGGCGGAGTCTTGTTTCAAAACGAGGGAGGGCTCGAGCATCCGATCGCATTCACTGGTCGTACAATGAAACCAGCGGCGCTAAACTACCCAGTGCGCGAACAGGAATTGCTGGCTATTATGCATGCGCTTCGAGTGTGGAGAGTCTACCTGCTCGATCGGCCATTTACGGTGGAGACAGACCACAAGAGTATTGAGACTATATTGACGCAGAAGACAACAAACCGTCGTGTGGCTCACTGGTTTAATGAACTAGCCGAGTTCCAACCACAGTTCAAATGGATTCCAGGCGACAGTAACCAAGTGTCGGATGCAGTGTCTCGAAACCCACTCTTTGAGCACAAAGCCGCTCAGGTTAGTCTCAGTGAGCTCATTGAAGCGGCTGGAAACCGTCAAATTGTAGCTAGCGTCCAAACGACCAGTGCAACTGTAACGCACTCGGCCAAACAACTGTACTCTACAGACCGAAGAGTTCAGGAGCTGTTGCAGAGTATCGCTAGTGGTAAAGAGGTACCACGCTACTCTGTGAAGAATGGACTGCTGTATTACCAAACGAGAGATGATGAAAATGCTCGACTGGTAATTCCGGACAATGAAGATCTGAAGAACCGTGTTAATTGTGAAAACCACGATGTGGTCACGGCAGGTCACCCCGGATACGTCAAGACATACTTAGGCGTCCAGAAGAAATATTACTGGCCCAAGATGTCGAAGTACATTCAGCGTTATGTGAACACGTGCAGGCTTTGTCAGCGAAACAAGGCACGCCAAACGAAGCCGCCGGGACTACTTCAACCGTTGGAGATTCCAGGTGGCAGATGGATTGATGTGACGATGGACTTCATGGTTGCACTACCGAAGACGGCAGCTGGAAAAGACGCCATTATGGTTATTGTGAACCGGTTGACGAAACGTGCTAAGTTCATTGCCACGAACACGGCGGCGACAGCAGAAGAGACTGCTGCGCTATTCATGGCCAATTATGTGAAAGACCATGGAATGCCGAAGTCGATCGTCTCAGACCGTGACTCGAAATTCACATCAAAGTTCTGGCAGGAGGTGATTAAGACATTAGAGACGACTCATAACTTGTCGTCCACCTTCCGCCCGCAAACGGATGGTCAGACCGAGCGTACTAATCGGTTTATTGAAGACTATCTACGAGGTGTCGTCAACCCATTCCAGAATGATTGGGATGAATACCTACATCTCGCCGAATTCGCGTACAACAGACGTGTCCATTCCTCGATCGGTTTGTCACTGTTTGAGGCTGATCTGGGTTATGTGCCCTATATGCCAGATGAGGTGGCTGGGGACCCAGAGTTTGAGCAGTTGCAGAAGTCAGCACAAGATTTCCTGCTCAAGCAAGACGCAATTTTGAAATTGGCACAAGACGCGATGAGTGAGGCGCAAACTCGAATGAAGTCGTATTATGACAAGAACAGACTTGCTCAAGACTTCAAACCCGGGAATATGGTACTTTTGGATGGACGGAACTTGGACATTCGTCACAAGGGGTTTGCACAGGCGAAGAAACTTGCGCCAAGATTTATTGGTCCATACCCGGTCGTGAAGCAAGTTCATCATGACTCCAACGAGCTGAAGTTGTCAAAGGGGCTCAAGTTGCATCCCGTTTTCCACACTTCGTTGCTCAAGCCGTATCGCAGCGACGAATCACGCAGCCAAATTGTTAACAAGGTGATCTTGAATGATGGCTCAGAGGGACAACTTGTACGTGAAGTCATCGGCCACCGTCGCAGGAAGAAGAAGCTCCAGTATCGGATTTGGTGGCTTGGTGAACCCCGAGAAGACGCTACATGGGAACTCGTAGAGAACCTGAATCAGATTCCAGGGCTCATTGACCGGTAATGGGACTCCAAGAAGAAGCAAAGTGCAGCTTCGAAGTAGTGGGGCCTTCTTGGAAGGGAGGTCATGTTACGTGAACGTCCGTCTGCCAATGAGATGGCAGAGGACTCCCACGTCAAGTGCTGCTGCACAGCACTTCAGTTTACGCTAGACAGCGTAATACGGGGATGCATGGTTTATATTCATTATATGCTATCCTATTGGCTGGTGTCAAAAGTAAACTTGATTATGGGACGCGTAAACATGGACATTCGCGCGACCTCATTGGCTGTAAATCCTTGAGATGTGCAACAATCAAGTTTTCCAGCCGGACTTTTGATTATGGGACGCAAGTCACAAATTTTGCAAAGCTACGAATAGGATTAGTAGTTTTTCATTGGTAGATAAGGATTGATCTAGGATTTGAAATTGATAGACTTTAGGATGGGACCTGGATACTTGTTTGCGTGTCCTGGTCGCCAAGAACTACTGGTTGCGCGGCGGCGGCGCGCCGACGCTAAACTAACGGATCAATCAATCACTTTTCAACTTTCCAACTTCCTCTCAAGTGTTCTTCGAGCGCTCGCCACTGCGCTCATCAAGCTTCGGGTCTTCGCATCGGCTTGTGTCACACGTGAGGGCCCTAACAAAAGTCAGATCCAACAAGAGTCAAATGGTTGGAGCTCTCACAATGAGTCGGAGATGCCGATTACACCGACCGTGAGCTGGAGATTTCGTTTCAGTCCATTGTTGTCGGAGTACATTTCCAGTTTGCACCCAAGAACGCTCTAACTGGTGCCTCTGGCTTGGATCGGGTTGAAGTCGATCCACTGGTGGCTATCGCTATTACGAGCTCGGCGGCTAGTGACCCGACCCTAGTGATGCAAATGGAGTCACTTGACAAAACGCGCGTGATTTCTCGCTTGAAGGTGCTTCTAGGCAGTATCAGAACTATAAAGGTGATGCATAATGTCCACCGCGCGGCCTTCTGGCTGCATTGCAACGGACTGCAGGACGTGAAGCTGGCAAATTGCGTCGACTTGCAGCTGCTGTACGAAAATGCTGTGCGGACATCCTCCAAATTGTGACGCACTATTTCTCAGAGCCGTCGAAAAATTTATCGCAGAACATGCACTCGTTCAAGGCCAGATTGAAGCCCGCGGAGGCCGCGAACTGGATGCACTCGCCTCTGTCTGGAAGGCTGTTGCAGTCGCTAGCTCAAACAGCTAAACTTTACGCCCAGTGCTACGCTGAAATACCGCCTGAAACCTCGTTGAGAGATTCTTGTGCATCGATGACGAGTTCACGGTGGCAGTATGCGATCCAAAACCGTGGACGCAAGGCGATATGGTTCGACCCCGATGCGGACAACAAGGCACGTAGTCTGGAATGCCTCGTTTCACATACAAGCAATATACAGGAGAACGGCGCAGCATCACGGGTAGAGCTTTCGTCACTGGGGCTGCAGTGTGCGTTGGACCTGCTCCTCGACCTCCTTCCGAGCGAATACGAGGACGCCATCCTCGCCATCGACAACTACCGCACCAAACTCGTCGACGTGTGCCTCGACGTCGGTCGAGTCCCCTACGTCTACACGGGCAAGAAGCAGCGCGTCGTGCTCAGCAAGCACGGCGCCACCGTCGCCAAGGACACGATCGACGAGATCCTGAGCAACCTCGGCGGCGAAATGCGCATCGGAGACGACAACCGCGCCGGCATCGGCCGACAGCTGCACCGCATCTCCGTCATGCGCAGCAAGACGGACGAGGTGTACGGCCTGCCGATGCGCGTGGGCCGAGCGCTGCGCAACGCGACGTGCGTGCTGACGGACCAGCAGCAGCACGAACCGGATCGACAGCAACACGGAAGTTGGCAGCGAGGCCAGGCGGAGGAACAGCAGCAGCGTTGGGACCGGCTGCTGCGGCTGGAGCGCGAGATGGCTGCACTGCGGGGCGAGCTGATTGGGGCGGCGCGTGATCCGCCGCAGCACCGTGATCGACAGGACCGTGCGGACGACTAGGGCGCTGGCTGGAACCAGTGTCGCTGGGGATGACTGCGGGGTGATAACGTCGGAGTCGGCCGACGTAGAAGGTGGGATGTAGGCGGGTAGCAGACGGTAGTTGAAGAGTATAAGCCTCGCCCAGCACCTTCGTAACCTTGAATGGTCCAATAAATCGTGGTGCGAACTTTGGTCTTCGGTGCAAATTCTGCTCTGATTTATCTTTAGCTGGTCTCTCCCTAATGCTACCATCTTGCTTACCCTCCTACAA